CATCTGTGAAACTTATTTTGTTGCAAGCATTCATTTTTTTATGATGCCTTTTTACTTATGAAAGGTGTTGAGGTCTGTCTTTACTTGGCCTTTATGTCGACTAACTTTGATTTAATGGTTGAGATCCTTGGACTCTGGGTGCCAGGCATAGCATACCCCCCTGCCTCCAGGCTAACGTGTACACGGCCTGTCTTCTCCACCACCAGCAAGTGGAACCCCTGACCAGGGGAGAGCAGAACTTGAATAACTTCAAAATAACAGTAATTTAGAGCAAAAATTTCTAAAAAAAAATCTTTTTTTTTTTTTTGCTAGAAACATTATATGTAATTGTCTTTAGGACTCTAATGAGGGTGACCTCATTAACTTTATTAGTTTGGAAACTCAATTTGGCATTAACTTTGCCATCAGGCAGGCAGGCAGGCGTGTTCCCGTGGTTTTGCCCGAGTCAGCTCCGGCTGAATCACTACCTGTCACCCACAGATGCCCCACCTGGAGCTAAGGACCAGGAGGATGGCTAGTGCAGGTGAAAATCCCTGTTCTTGAGTGTCTGAATGGTGGAAAGGTCACCCAGCCTGGGCCAGGTGGGAGTGTGGGGGTAGAGGAAGGGGTCGGGGCATGCGTGGGTGCAGACCTCGGCCCCAGAACCTGGCCAAGGTGGGAATCTCAGCTGAGCAAACACCTCCTCTGTGACTGCCAGCCCATCACTTGAGCTCATGGGGTCCTTCCATATCCCTGTGTCCTCCTACCCAGAGGAGAAAGCAGGTGTGCCAAGGACGGTTGGCAGAATAGCAGCCCCTTCCCTAGACACACTGGTGAGGAACATTACAGGTGCTGGTCAGTTGACTGAAGGGAGGAAGCCTGGTGTGGATTGTCTGGGTGGCCCTACGGCATCATAAGGGTCCTTGGAGTGAAAAGGGGGAGCACAGAGAGACAGCATCATCAACAGCCAGTGGCTGCTGGCTTCCAAGATGGGGAAACGGTCAATGGCCTCTAGAATCCGTAAAAGACAGAAATGGATTCTCCTCTGCAGCCTCCAGAGGTCTGGCTCAGCTGACACCTTGATTTTAGCCCAGCAGTACCTGATTTGAGTTCTGCTTCCCAACTTGTAAGATAATGAATGTGTGCCGTTCTAAGCCACCAGATGCGTAGTGATTTGTTTCGGCAGCAGTAGGAGTCTCCCACACCCGAGTTAGTGCAGTTTACACAGGTCCTGTGGCCAGTTCCAGATTTAAATCAGCTCCGATGGCCGGAACATGAAACTCTTCCTTTTATGCAGAGGTGACGGGAAATTCACTTTCAGTTCTGTTGGATTTGAAATTTAGCCTTCACCTAACAGTTTTTTAAAAATCCCTTCAACCAGTGCTGCATTTTATTTTTAATGACTTCTCACCGTTTAACTTTCCTCCTTTGCACCTTCTCTTTTGTGACGGGCGCCTGTGTCAGGTGACGTGTGCGGGGTGGGGTCAAGGGTCCCACTGCCCTTGCTCTGCCCTTGCTCACGGGGTTTCCTGGTGCCTCTCTGGGCAGGGCCATGGGGCGTGGCTACAGGCAGGGTGTGGGCGGGGCTCGGACTGGGCGTAGGGCGGGGTCTCTAGGGGGATTGGCATGGGGCGGGCTCTTGGCTGTTGGTGGGGACACGGCTCTGCAGGACCTGCCGCTGCAGCCGCCTCCTTATTTCAGGCCGCCTCCTTATTTCAGCCCCTGCAGCCTGTGACAGCGCCAAGTCACCTCAGTGCCTGGGTAGCTCTAGAATCTTCCCTCCCAGGATCTGCCCCAGAGCCCCCTGCTCCTGTGTCCCCTCGCTACTACCCAGCTCTACTGCCTGCCGCTGTCTGTGGTCTGACCTTTGTCCTCTCTTCCCCTCACCAGCTCCAGGTCTAGTCATGATGACTGGCAGGGGAGGTAAGGACACAAAGTCTCCGTTCTTCAAGAGCTAAATAAAATTGCAGGTCCCATCCCAGTCTGCCTTCAGCCTTTGGCCCTGCCCTCTGGTGCCCCAGGGACGGAGCCTGGAGACCTCAGAGCAACGTGCTTCGGAGGGGTCTTTTGAAATCCAGGCTTTCCAGTAGCTGAAATGTCTGCAGCAGGAGCCCGGTGGGGACTGGAGCCTGGCCTGCCCTCAAGGCCCATGGTGCGCACACCTGCGTGCTTCAGAGGCTCAGGGCCCAGCCTTTGGGAGTCTCCAGGTAGGGCAGTCTGGTCGCAGCACAGGCAGGCGGGGCATGGTGTCTTCCTCAGGTAATTAAAGAGGTGGGCATGGTCCCTTGGGGAGAAAGGAATTCCTCCATCTTCCAGAACCAGCCAGTTCTGCGCAGAGCTGTCTGCACGGCAGGTGGGGTGCCCACAGATGTGACGGCCTCTCCCCAAGTTGTGTGCAGGCAGAGAAGCTGGGTGGAGTTCATGAGCATCATCAGATGGCTTGTCCTAGGGCTGATAAATAAATACATTACCTCTACCTTCCTGGGAAGGGGAGCCTGGTGGTGCTAGAGGAGAAGGAGGGAGAAAATAAGAAAAGAAGACTTTAACTTTTGGGGGGAGAATAGTTTTATGTTTATTCCAAATGTGCCACTTTCTTATGATGTTCTTTGACTTCTTAGAGAACATTTTTTATTGACCATAAAGAATAAAACAATCTTTGTGGTGCCCAAACCATGTTCCTCAAATTTATCTTGGAGGCATCTGCAAACAGCAAGCAAGCAAAACAAACAAACAACAAACAGAAACCACCATCCAGATGTTCAGAACAGAATGCAATTGTTAAGGAAGCTTTCACCACGCAGAATAAAGACATGTTGGAAGTCCAAGCAGGAATTACAATCAGTCTTTGCATAGGGAATCGGAGTAATGGATCCCCTGTGCCACAGCCTACCTGGCTCCAGCTCTTCCTTCCCTGGTGACCGAATCCTGCTTTTGTTTGGGATGGCATTGTGCATACTAAAAAGTTACTTTTGGGGGCTTCCTTTGCACTGGGGAGAAGGGACATTGATACCATTCTGAACAGTCAGGAGTGGAAGGCTCCTGGGCACTTCTGGAAAGATTTATATTCCTATTTTAGCTTCCACTACTTTTTACATGTGCTCACCACCCCCTTCTTTCCCCAGTCTGAAGCATGAATTTGATTGGCTGTACCTTTAGTGGCCATTGTAAGGCTGTGGAATGAAGAGTAAGAGAATCACAGACCCACTCAGCCTTGACACATTTGAGCTGTTGAATCAGTTCCTATTGCGCTGCCTTCAAATTTCACATCTAGTGAGGGAAACAATAGCCCTAATTTATTTAAGTGACTTGTTAACTTCTGTATAGTGCACATGTGTATGTGTGACATTTCACCAATGTGTGTATGATGACACTTTTTCACTTTTTCTTAGAAAGCACGTCAGCTGCCACGCGCCCACATTTGCAGGAAGTACAGCCTCTTCACCTCGAACCACTTCTCTTGATGACCTTCCAACCCCTTGCAGTTAACCAGAGGTATCTGTCTTGCTTCCATGGCCAAGCTCAGGGAGAGTAGGAAACTCTGATTGGTCACCAACCACATGACATTGTAGAAAACCACCACCGGGGCAGTCTGAGGATTCATAACCTGCCTATGTACAGCCTGGTGCCTCTCTGGGCAGGGCCATGGGGTGGGGCCACAGGCAGGGTGTTGTGGGTCTGTCTTTATTTTTTTAAAATCTGAAAATAATCTCCATTCTTTTCTAATAAATAGAGAGTAAAATTTATTTATTTATATGTTTATTTTATGTATTTTAAAAAATTTGTTCATTTTAATCACCTCCATTCTTGAAGAATTCTAGATTTTAATTTATTTTCCTTCATCCCTTGAAAATTATTATTTTTGTCTTTCCCTATTTCTGTAAGTAGTCAGATATTACTTTATTTATTGCTTCTCTAAAAGAATTTGTTCATTTTTCTAAGGCTCTAAAAGGATATTGTCTTTGTCTTTGATTTTCAGCAGTTTTAGTATGATGCAATGAAATAGGGAGTTTCATTTGTTTAATCATTTGGGGGATTGAAAGTCTTTTAGTCTTTGTGACTTATACACTTTTCATCAGTTTTGGAAAAATTTCCATCATTATCTCTTCTAATAAAGCTTCTACCTAATTCTTTCTTCTCACTTGATGAAACAATTATTTATATACTAGATCTTGTTTTACCCCCTATGTGTCTTAACCTCTTTTTGTAATTTACTTCCACTGTATTTCTATAATTTATTCTTGAGCATTTTCTTCTGGTCTGCTTTCTGTCTTACCATGTCTCTCTTCAGCTGTATCTAATCTGTGGGTAAGCCTATATACTAATTTCTTAATTTTGAGCGCTATATTTTTCATTTCTACAACTTCCTTTTAAAAACAGTTTCCACTTATGTGACTAGATTTAAAGAACATCTTTTATCTCCTTGTACACATTGAGGATAGCTATTTAAAATTCTGTGCCTTATACCTTATTATTTGGAATCCAAAGGATCTGTTTCCATTTTGTTGTTTTCTTGTTATTTTCCCCAATATTCTTGATTATTTTAATTTTAATGACAAACATAATATATGAAACATGGTAGAGTAATTGGAAGTACAATGGTTTTCTCTTCTTATGAAAAAGAATGAACATAACCTTAGTATGTTCTGCATGGTTAGAATCACCAGAGAGTTTTAAAAATCACTACTGTCCAGGCTGAAAACTCAAAGATTCTGATTTCCTAAGGATAGTCAAGAGTTAGGCGTGGACATCAGTTTTCAATAATAGGAGAATAATAGGAGAATAATCAGTGATTATTCTCCTAGTGATCCTAATGAATTCCAGGCTTGAGACCTACCCTAACATGAAACAAAACAAAGATAGTACAAGAGGAAAAATAATAGTTCAGTTAATAAGTGACATAAAGGTCACTTATTAACATAGCTGCAAAAAATATTCATGTACAGAATGCACTATTATAAAAAATTACAAACTTTGACTAAATAGACCATTCTAGAAGCAAACATGCAGATAATTTCCTCACAGAATGTTTATGAGCACAGTTTATTGCATTATATTTGCTATGGAGAAAGCCCACAGGCACATAGCAATAGATGCTGGAATTTTACAAACCACACAAAACATTTTAGTAGGAAGGGAAGGAGTCACTGAGATGTACTGAAATGTGTTTGGTGCTCTTTGTTTCCTTCCGAAGTGTCCGGCTGGTGGTGCTCCGGGTCCCTCTGGGTGGAGGTGGGTGAGCTGTTTGGTTAGGGGGCTGGAGAGGTAGTGCTGCCCCCTGCAGTCAAGGTGTGGAGAGTGGGTGAGAGCCCCACGTGCTCTTCCTTCACTGTGGGGACGCTTTGGTTTGTGATGGCAGAGCCCCAGCCTCCTTCCTGCCTCTCCTGGAGGTTTGTTGAGAACCACAGCTGGCTGTGAGAGAGAAAGGAGCATGTTAAGCCCCTGGGATTTGGGAGCGGCTTGACACTGTGCTGTAGCCTGCCTTGACCAGGCCTTGTGGGAGAACGTGGACCAGATGGCTGAGACTTTGCAGCTCATGTGGTGTCTGTCACGATGGCTCCACACTCCCATTGTAGCAGAAAGCAGCTGCAAGTCACAGGTAGGTAAATGTGCATGCCTGTGTTTCAATAAAGTTTTATTAACAAAAGTGCATGGTAGATTGGGCTCATGGGCCATTATATGCTGAGCTCTTGACTAATACTTTTGCCTACTCATATCTTATTGCCAATATAATTCTATAATATAAAATCCTAAATCCATTTAAATTAAAAACAGGAATAAGTAGGGCTGACCATGATGGCTAGTTAATAACAGTATTTTAGAGAGTCTGGTGAGTGAATGCAAGCAGTTGAAGTAAGTAAAATTTTGTAAAATTTTAGTAAACTAAAATTTTGTTTGGTGATTATGTACCCAGAAGAATCCAAGAAACACTAGTCGAAGTGGTTAGGATTTGAGGGCAATTTGCAATTTGGTAAGATGAATCAGTTAGATAGGTTTACTGTACAAAAACCAATAGTTTTAGTTTATGGGGTAAAGCTGTCATGTATCCCAAATAGCCCTCGAAGCAAAGTGTTCGTCACAGCTGTGAAAACCACACAGTGGCTAGGGGCACGTTCACAAGAAAGCTGTAGTATTTTATGAAGGAGGCATTCCCTGATGGGAGGATGTAAGGTCACAAGAATTCAGTTTTTCCAAAGTTATATTTAGAAAACAAAGTGAGAATACCCAAGAAAAATCTGAAAAAAAAAGTAAAAGGGGGGTATATATGGCTTGACTCACTCAGATATTAGAATGCACAAAAACCAACAAAATAAAAAATCATGATGCTGGGCTAGAATGGAGCAGGAAACACCAAGGCGGAGAAGAAAACCAAAGGGCACAGCGCTGTTTCTAGGAAGGTCCCCGAGGTCGCGGTGGGCACGCTGTGACCTAGCGGCTGTCCTGGGCACAGTGCTCACAGCGTGGGCTTCGAGGGGAGCCCAAGGAGGACTTTCAAACTGCTAATGGTGTTAGGATGGCAGAGTTTAGGTGGATGTTTCTTGCTTCCTGGTCGCCTTTGGGTGTATTGGCATATTGATCATGTGTTCTTCACCAAATGGGAGAAAATAAAACTTCTAGAATTATAAACACAAAAAGTAGCCATGAGACAAAAGAAACGAAGCCGTAAGACGCCACACTTAGGGCGCTGGTGCCTGAGCTCCCTGATGGCAGGAGTCACCAAGGCGCCCGCTTGGCTCTCCTGCGAGGCCTCGAGGTGTGGGTCCTGCAGCAGATGCCTTCCCGGGCAAGGCGTTGTGGGCACTGGAGAGACGCCCTGGGGGGGGGGGCTCCTGGCAAGGGGCAAAAGCCAGAGGCCAGCATGGAGCTCACAGGACCCCAGAAGCACTCGCTCCTGCCAGGACGGGCAGCTGGAGACCCCACCTGTCCGTCATTCAGAAGGGGATTGTTGACAAGTGCTAATCCCCAGGGCTCCACATTTCCAATGTTAAAAACTTGAGAAAGGACTGGATGACTCCAAGAATGACTCTTGTAGTTCTGGAGCATTGGCTGTGACTCTGTCACCACTGTCATTATGTGGCCTGGTGAGGGGTGCATTTGTTCTCCTAAAGGGGACAGAGAGGCCATCTCCAGCCTTGTGGCTGTCAGAGCTCTTGCCATAGGATTCAATTCCGCAGGCGTTTGTGGAGGGCTGTGAGCTCAGACCCATGTCCTCGCTGCCTTCTCGGCTGTGACCCAGCAACTTACCAGAGGCACGATTTTGTCCCCTAATGGAAATTTCTGACAGTCTGATGGCAGTGGCTTTATAAGAAGGGACAGAGACCAGAGGTTACAGATGTGATGCCCTGTGCCACCTTGAGAGTGCCCGAGGAAAGGTCACCACCAGGTGTGGCCCCTTGACCTTGCACCTCCAGAAAGTGAACCAAATAAGACTTTTCTCTTTATGAGGTAGTTTGCCTCATGCATTTCATTTCTGGATGGGAATTGGAGGAGGCAGTTCTCTTCACTGAGAATGCAGACCTGGGGGCAGGGCCTGCGGGTAAGATGTGTCCTTAGGCCACTGCCTGCTCTGAGGATCAGGTCTCAGCAGCCACTGGCCAGAGCTAGTGGCCAATGAACTCAGCTTTTGTTTAGTCTGCATCTGATCCCATAGTAACTGCCCAGTACATCTACCCAGGAGCTTTTGTGAGAGAACTTATGAGGTTGTTCAGCACAGAAGAAGCACATGTTATGAAACTTCTGGGGTCCCTAAGGCCATCTTCCTGACGTCATCAAAGGCTACCGCCGTTTCTTCATTTTTATAGTGGTACGCCTGCTTAACTGAAACCCTCCATTTGATCCCACCACTCCTCAGTCTGCTGAGCTCTGTGCTCAGCACCAGGCTGGGGGCTTTGAGACCACAGAAGATGGCCTGGACCTTGACAGATGCTTCCGCCGGGAAGTTAATGAAAAACAGTGAAAGGCTCATCACCACTTTGAAGAATTCCCTTCTTAGGAACTCGTTCTGTTCATTGGCAGAAGCACCTTCAGGTAGACAGTGTCGTGATTGGAGGGGAGACAGGAGATGGTGAGGACGTGGGCTCCTCCCCGGGACCAGCTCAGCTGGCCCGCTGCGGGAAGCACTTTATGCTTTCCTCCACTCTGTCCCAGTTCCCACCACAAATCCTGGCTGCTCATTTCATCTGATGAAAGTGTCACTTGTCTGTTTTGCTCTAGCGCCCAGATGTGTGGCATGATATTAAATGAATAGGTTGCTGGTCTCTGCAATTGCTCCTACGCCCAGCATTCAGGATCCAGGGCACAGGAAATGCCTGACAGATTTGCAGAGCCAGTGACCAGAGGCGCAGGCACAGGGAGAAGTGGAAATCCCAGCCGGCCCTGGAGGGGCAGGCAAGCCCCTCGGGAAGAAACTACAGTCAAGGGCAGAGACAACCACATGAAAGGGGACTTGCCCCTGGCCTTCCCTTTTTGAGCACACTGTGAGTCTGTTTGTTAAGTGCAACTGTCACGTGAGGGCTCCTGTGATTTGATTTCCTGATATCTGCATTAATTCACAGGCCTTTGAAAGCTGGGGCGTTGTGGGCACATGGTGGGGGAGCGCTGTGCTTTTCCTTTAGAAAGAGCAGGGCAAAGTCCACCTGCGTTCCTGAGGCATAGTGGTGGTCAGGGCTCCTCCCCTGGGGGGCTGTGCACCCCGGGCTGGGAGAAGCCTTGACGTCAGGTTTCCTGATTACTTTAAGACTCAGTTTCACAAAGACCCCAAGTGCTGGGAGCAGTTGACCTGCTGTGTCACCAAGGTCTGCACCTTCCATTCTACCAACTGCTGGATGAGATTATCACATGGAGAGGCGCATACTTTCTTGACACAGTGTGACAACTGTTTCCATGACCTTCACATTGTATCGGGTGCTGTGGGCCCTGGGAGGAGGTCGATGTGGTGGGTTATGGGCAGATGCTGCAGGGCTTCACACGGGGGGCTCAAGCTTCCCTGGACTTGGGCACCTGCTGCGGACCCAGAACCAGGGCTCTTTGATACCGAGGGATGACTGCATTCTGTTTTCCAGGCACGGAACAGGAGGCGCAGGGAGGCTGTGTCACCTGCCCAAGGTGCCCACCTGCCAGTGTGTGGCCACGTTTTTCTGCCCAGGAGGCCTTGGGTCTTGCAGGACTCTCCTTCAGCACTGGGCAGTGAGCAGAGGCTGCTCGGGATGGTTTCGGATCAGGCCCTGCGGACCAGGCTCCAGGCCCACCCACCTGCAGACCCCACAGTGGCTGGCTCAGAATCTCTGCGCATGTAGGTGAGTGAAGCTTTCCAGCAAAAGCAGTCTGTAAGGATTAGGAAAGGAGGCTGCTCCTTTAATGCTCTGACAACCGCATATTGTCCCAAGATCTCAAGTGATCAGGGGAACGTGGCACCAGTGAGGAGAAAGAGCACCAGAAACCGACCACGGGAAGCAGGGACCCACAGGACCGACCCATGGGAAGAGGGGACCCACACACTTCTGGACAAAGATCTTAAAATGACCATCTTTAAGGAGCTAAGGGAACTGCAAAAGATCAAGATGGAAAGGGAAATCAACTCAGGAAAACCAAACATGGGCTCAACAGGAAGTTCACAAAAAGATCCAGACAGCAAGAATGAGGCTGGCTGAGGAGCACAGGATGGGTTGGGCCATTAACAGCGCCCTTTATCAGCAGCCTCGATGGAACAGAAGAGCGAATCGGGGACCAGGAGACAGACCCTCTGAATTCACCCAGTTGGGGACAAGAGAAGGAGGAGGAAAGCAGCACAGAGAGAGACCTTGGGGCTCACAAGACCCCACCCAGCACAGGCTGTGTGCAGCGGGAGTCCCAGGAGCAGGGACAGGCAGGAGACCCCGAGTCTGGACAGGGGCATGGAGGGTGGACCTACGAGGCCTGAAGAGCCTGGATGCACGTTCAGTGACGTCCTCCAAGGACAGAGAGAGAGATCATGAACATGGCCAGAGCAGGCGACTCCTCATGACAGGGCAGACATGTAAATCCAACAGCAGGTTCCTAGCAGAGACCCTGAAGGTCCTGAAAGGAAGGACCGACATCAAGAAAACTGTGACTGGCTGAGGGGCTGCTCAGAAATGGAGACATCGAGACTTCCCCAGCCAAAGTCCCAGGGAGTCCATTACCACGAGGCCAGCCTTGCCAGAAGTGCTTAGGGACACTCTTCAGGTTGAGATGAAAGGACACGGGTGACAAGCAGACCTAAGATGGCTTGGAATGCAGCACACAGCAGGCCCCGCTGACCAGCTGCTTCCTTCCATGTTCCAGTCTCCTGTGGTCAACAACAGCATGAAAATATGAGATGGAAAGTTCCAGGAGGAGAGAAGTAGGAAACTTAAATCGCAGGGCACGCGGGGTAGCTAACGACATCTTGCCCCATCCTGCTCTGGCTGTGATTGTCCCTCTGTACGCATTTCATGCCGTTCTTGCAGCCTGCCCACTGGTCACCTCAGGCCATCGCCATTACTCATCAAGGGTCCAGGTGTGGCGCTGCCTGTCTTCAGGTAACCCTGCTTTGACTCAATAGTGGCCCCCAAGACAAGGCAAGTGAGGCCGGCAATTCAGCTACGCCAAAGGGGCACCCTGACGGGCTCTCTTGAAGAGCAAAGGGGACATCAGTAAGGATAGACGAAGCCCTGTGCGGAGTCCCCAGATCCACAGCGAGGACCCATCTCCTGCGGTGGAAGCAGGAGGAGGCAGAGAGACTCGTGCTACTTTTACTCTTGCACCTCACTCTGCAGAGGTGTGGCCGCAGCATGTGGTCAGGGTCCAGCCATTTGCTTTACCTCGTCTCACAAGTGGACACCGTGTCATCTCAGGCCGTCCCAAGAGGACGGTGAGCACAGTACAGTAAGATGTCAGGGTGACAGAGACACAGGGGAGGGGTGGACGGGCCGCACACAGCCCTCACTGCAGGATACTGTTCAGAAGGCTCTACTTTATCTTTACTTATTGTTAACCTCTCACTTGCCTATTTATGAGCTAAATTTTTTTGCAAGGCATATGCATAGAGGAAACCAGTTCTGACCGTGGTTTCAAACATCCACGGAGAGTTTAGAACAGGTCCTCCATGGGTCAGATTGAGGGTGACGGTTCTGTAACAGTCTTACACAAACCACCGTCAACGCCACTAGGAAAGCTAAGAGGCAAACTATTAAAATGACCTACAGTTGTAAGGATTTCTTAATTGCTATGCAGTATATAAACAAGTAAAGTGTATGTGAGTAAGAAGTAAAAATGTACAGGTTTTGTATGTGACTGTTGCTAGGTTGTTATAAGCTTGGATTGTTATAGCTATGGTGTGTTTTATAGAGTCTCACGGTAACTACAAAGATAAATCTCTATGGGTACATAAAAGATAAAAAAGGAATCAGAGCTACCACTACCCACCGCCCCCCTCCCCCCCCAAAAAAAAAACCAGCAAAAGAGGGGAAAAAAGGAACACAGAAACTATGGAAGAATTTTAAAGGTTAACAAAGTGGCAACAGGAAGTAATTACCACTGGGCACCTGAAGTGTAAAGTCAGTAAATCCTCCAACAAGACAGGGAGTGGCCGATGGCTTTCAGGACAAGATCCAAGAGCCTGCTGAACGCAAGAGGCTCCCTGAGCTTTAGCTTGGGTCTCGGGCTGGCACAGTGGCCACCACCTGACAGGTGCAGGGTGTTTCTGCCTCCAAGCCTGGGCCTTTCTTCCTCTCTCTCTTTCCTGCTTCCCTGGTGTGGAGTGTCCTGGTCCCCCAGGGGACGGGCACCGCCCTCCTGTGTTAGGTCATCTTTTCCAGCTTGCTGTGTGTATTTTTCTTGTGATACTGTAACTATTTTAGCTCTCTGTAGGTTTCCCTGAGGGCAGCAATGGTGACTTCTCAGCCTCTAGAGGCTGTAGTGCCTTGTAGGGATCAGGCCTAGGTGGACGCTAAATTGGGTTGCATTTCTGGTAAGTGACGATTCATCTGAGAGCCACGTTTCCTTGGTCACGTGAGACAGGCTTGGCCTGTTGCTCCAGGATGCACAGCCACACCGACTAGCCAACCAGACCCTGCCTGCTGGGGAGACTGACACTGGGGTCAGAGGCCTGGAGAGAGAGGCCCACCAGCCCAGACGTGGAGGCAGACGGGCTCACAGGGGTCCACTTAGCCAGTGGCCAGCTCAGGCAAGGTCTGCCTGCCTCCTGAGACAGCATTGCTGGGCTGGCCAGGGGCCTCGGGGACTCTCTCTCCACATGACCTGAACCGTAAGCATAGATAGCTGCTTTGCGGCACCTTCAGGACCTGGTGTGGGTGCTCAGTTGGGAGATCTGCAAAGCCTGCTGTCCGGGATGCCCTGGATGTAAGGCCCTGTCCCCAAAGTACCTGGGAGGGAGGTACCAGGACCCGGGAGGAGTGCTGGCTTTGGCGCCCTAAGGTGGGGCTGCACGTCAGGGGCTGGTGTGTGGGAGCCTAGGATCTCCACATTCGTTGCGTCTTATCCCTTCTAACTGTGACACAAGGCAGGTGTCCATGGCCACCAAGACACCAGAGCTACTGCGCTGGTGAGGTGCCCGTCCAAGACACCACCATTGTCCTGGGCACCCGGTGGGACCCACGCTAGCGGGCAGCTGTGTGCACTCCCCACGCTGACTGCCTTTCATTTCTTTTTCCATTCTCAACATTTCAACCTGAGAGTTTGGGGGCATTAGAGAACCTGCTCTGTCCTCTTGGGTCTCAGGGCGACATGGATGTTGAAGACGGTGACCCAGGAGGTTGGTGGCGGTGTTGAGGACAAGGTGGGCCTTGCAGCAGGCTGGCCTTCCTGATGCCACGTTTCCGCCCTCTACTCTGGTCCCATTTCCTCAGGACGTCCTTCAGTGGTCCCAGGGTCAGCTGGGTCAGTAAGTGGCCACGTGCTAACACAGAGGCCACCAGAACCCCAGGACCCTCCGCCCCGTAGAGGAATCTTTGTGCTTCTGAGTCTTATTTTTAGAAGTGTTGTGGGGCCGGAGCATCAACGAATGTGCATTTCAATCGGCAGCTCAGGGTCAGTGGCTACCTGGCAGATGGCCTGTGGGGATCTGTGCATTGAACATGCTGGAATCCTCCTTGTAGCACTTGCTACTGGGGCGGTGGTGAGGAGGGGCCTCACGAGCTGGTGTGACAAGCCTGCAGTTTCCTGGTTCATGAGAGAGAAATGTACTTTCATGTTTCTGCAGCCACATCCTGCTGTCTGGCCTCCTGGCTGTCTCCTCTCCGTGACTGGAGAGGAGAGGCTGGACGTGACCCTGACTCAGCTGCTGGGTGAAGTGGGTGCGTCCCCAAGTCCTCCCTACTCAAGAGGCACGCGATGTCGCCATAGGCCGTGGGATCTGGTAAACGGCCCTCCTGTACTTTCTTCCCATTTGTGGACTTCAAAGGATCCGAAAATCAGGATTTCATGCCTCACTCTTATTTCTTGGTTGCTAAATGCTGTGGCCACTTGTCCGCTCTCAAATCCCCAGGGCTCGAGACTGGGTTTAGAATCAAACTGCTTCCTCAGAACCCGCTTTCTCTTTGTGCCCACGGATTGGACAGTGACCTTCCTCACTTCATGGGATCCGAGATGCGGGGAGCACTGCAGGTGTGGACTCCGCTGCAGGGGGCCACACGCATTGCTGCTGGTGCCCACACAGGCAGGGCACAGGAGCTCATCAAAAAGGCAGTAGCGGTGTGTCTGGCATTTCCATTTGATGAAGTTCCAGTGTGTGTCCGACAGAGCTGGGCAGTCCTGTGTTCTTCCAAGGTCCTGGCTGCTCCACGGCCGTCAGTCACTGGGCACAGTCTAGTGGACCAAGTGTCCATCTGGCACATGAGGCAAGCTGATGGGGGCCCTGGACCTCAGATCTTTGTTTGGGAACGGGTGAGAAGGAGGCTGGTGTCCACGCTGCCCACGGTGGACACGGATTTGACTGTGGTTGTCAGTGTTTGTAAGGTGACTGCTGATGGGCAGAGCTCCGCCTCTGCCATCCCTCTCACCCTCTGATCCCTGGAGACCAACTGTACTCTTACTTTTCCCTTCTACAGGCGAAGCAGCCACAGCACTGGAGAGGTTGAGCCTGTTTCTCATAGTAAGAGAGCGAGTCGGGGCAGGCTCCAGCCCCGTGTGCAGACTCGAGGTCCTGGCTTTCCCCAGGCACAGTCCCCTGTGGCCCAGGAATGTCTAGGCTGAACCCCGGGGCTGTTCAGAGTCAGAGGTCATTGGTCTTCCCAGTTACTCTTGCTCGGGTACTGCCTTGGCCCGGACCCCCTCCTGCTCCTTACCCTGTGTGTCCCTCTTCCTCATCACGTTTCTCATTACCTGGTGCTCCTGAAAAGGGACTTTGGGGATTATGATCCTCTCCATTTTGTCACCTCTCTACTCTCCAAAGAACATTAAACAGATTAGCAGTTTTTTTGGGGAAAAAAAAATCTCACAAAGTGATCAAGGCTCCATCTTGAAGCACATATAGAACATCTTCAGCCTTGCAGGTCTCGGGTGTCTTTCCATCCACCATGCATCCGACCCAAGCATGAACATGCTCAAAATCCACCTATGCCCTCACACAAACACGCACGCACGCTCACAACATCCACCAGGCATCCAATCCAAGCATGAACGCACTCAAGATCCACCTATGCCCTCACACAAACATACATGCATACACACACCATCCACGCACGCATGCTGTCAAGATCCACCTATGCATCAACACAAACACCCATGTGCACCAACCACGCAAGCCTGAATGCACCGTGCAATCCTGACTGCACATCTACAATGGGCCAGGCCCTCCAAGGCATCAAGCAGGACCTACAGGACCTTCCTTTGAGGACCTCTCCTTATTGGAGGACACCGAGGAGTGAGTGGACATGCTCAATGTTGTGTGAGAAGTGCTCTGCTGGGGCCATGGGGCTGGTCCAGCCTGGACGACGCTTGCTGCTTGACCTTGAGCCCTTGCTCGGATCCCAGCTTCCCACCGAGTATTCTACCAAGGCTCACTTCCCACCAAGGGACATCACCGTCCTCATCACCTGCTGCCTCGGGTGCTGTTGTATTTCTGTGCTCCCGATCACCTCTGGCACATATGTCCTGTGCTCTGCTGGCTGGGGCAGGTGACACAGCCGGCTTGAGGTTTGGTGCTGGGACCAGGAGTACGGAGGAGCATGGAGGGCGAGGGTGGGGGTGCATGGGGTGTCTTGTCTGTCCTCTGGACTGGGATGGCTCTTGGGGAGGAAGCTAAGGGAGATCTGTGGGACGGGGCGGTGGTTCTCCCCATTTCTGTTAGATGCCACACTCCTCGGCACAGTAAGGGCTGGTGTCTGAAGCCACGGGAGACACACCTGGACCAGGAGGGGTGTGAGCAGCTCCCAGATGAGTGCTTCAAGGTTATGGGTGGGCATGCTTGGGAGCCCCAGGGGACAGAGGCTCTGGGATGCAGCCGCGGGTCTGGCTGTGGGCAGGAGGTTTCCTCAGGTGCTTCCAGGGTCTTCGGGGGCACACAGAGGGGGGCCGAGGCCAGGCGGTCTGCTGTGCGCCCCGTGTGCTCCTGTGTGTCCGCCGCATTGGGGGCTGTGCTCTGGGCCCATCCTTTGTGGGCCAGCCCCATGCTGCCCAGGCACATGGGGCTCAGAGATGGTATATCCGGGGATTGCTCTCTGCTCGCAGAAATGCTGTGGGATGTGAGCTCGGAACTTGGCTTTGCCCTTGTCCTGTGCTTGTGGCCACCACACTCTTGCTCACAGGCGCGCTCCTGCTGAAGCCCCCCTTCCCTCCCCACCCCCCAACATTCCAGCTCCCGCCACCACGAGGGCTCAGTGGAAAGTGGGCTCCCGACCCTCCTCTCCACTGGCCTCCTCTCGTCGAGGTCCAGAGAAAGCTGGCCTGGCTTCTCTGAGGGCACTTTTCACTTTCCCACCTTTGGATGAAGTCATTTCCTGTGGGACCCTCTGGCTTTAGCCTATAGCTGCAGGGACCAGGGGGGGTTTGCCCAGTGTCCAGCACCCTACCCCGCTCAGGAAGGGGCCACCTTCCCGAGCTCTCCAAGCTAGGACTCCCTCCCTAGGCCGAGTTTGCAGCCCAGCTGCCTGGTGGGGTGTTCCTGCCCACCTGGAGCCCTCCCTGGAGGTCACGTGCCTCCTGGCACAAACACCTCTGAAGCTACACTTGAAGTCATTTGAAGTCTTTCAGCTGGTTAAGGCAGACTCAGCCCTTTCTGACCTTATCTGTAGGCACTTCCTTGTAAAAGAACAAACCCAATATTTTGAGTGACATCATGCTTGACCAGAGCTGCAAAGGAAAACCCAGGAAACAGCAGGCTCAGTGCTCTGCCTCAGAACTGCTGAGTGTGTAAAACAAACAACCCACCAAGGTAAACACAGCGCCAGGCTGGTCGTGCGGTTCCTGTCCTCGAGGCTGGAGGTGCTCTCCGCCACGCTGTCTGCTGCTTGCTCAGTCTCCCCCAGAAGACTCGGGGGTTTCTCCAGCCGACCCAGGCACCATTAGCAATTGGGCGCATGATCCTGCAGCTCCTCCCAGCTCGCCCAGGTGCTCCGAGCCAAGAGGAAATCATCCTGCCAATCTTCCCAGGAGATTCCCTGGCACAACAGCTCCCAAATTCCACTAGATCCATTGATGGAAATCTCCCTGCACCCAGGATTGCTGCAGCCCAGGCTGCCCCCACTGAGAATTGCACTCTATGTG